CGCAGTTACCTGGGGCATGTAATTCGACGAATCAGCCCTCGTGCCCTTTGGATATATTCGACTCATTTGCCGCTTGTTGTAATTAACGAACTCCACGGAGTGAGTTTTCAGATAGTTAAGAGCGGCAGTCTCGGAGAACGAAGACATATTATGATGTATATTCTTGCCTGCAACGTCGGGGTCGAGACATTAGTACATGTCGCGCGCGCGACACGTGCGCACGTGTACGCTCATTCATTTAACTCTCCTTAAGTCTCCAGGACGTACGCACTACCACATAAACACCCGCTACCTCGGTAAATTTAAGACATATATGGCACATAAAACTCATCGCGCAAAGAAGAAAGTATAATATTAAATTTCACGCATTTACAGATTCATGTATTCGCTGGATAAAATCTTTACATGATTTTACAGTATCTTAGAAGCTTCCAAAAAAGTAATAAAATAGATAATAATTTTAACAGTAGGACTAATATAGAATTTTCTTTTGTTTTTCAACAGAAACGAAATAATGTAAAAGCAAGTGAGATGCGTGGTAAAAAATATTTTTAAAATTGTGAAAATTATTTAAATTATACCGTGTTTATTCATTTTAATCATATCGTCAGTATAATAAAATCACTTTTAACACGAAATGAAAAATAAAAACTTTTGAACTTTATTTTTTATTTCTGTTGTGTTGACGATATTATTTGATAAATAGATATGTGCTGAGCACTGAAGCATGTGCTCTTAATGATGTACTTCAACAAATTTGGCTCGTTATTTAATGTACTGCGAATTGAAAAAAATTGAAAAATATTGGACTAATTATATCGATTTTTATTATTTAAATATATAATACTATATATATATTTCTTGAAAAAAGAAATAGAGAAAAAATAAATTAATCAGTTTACTCATTTACATATTGTGCAAAAATACGAAAGTTTATAAAAAAACACCGTTATTTAAAAATTTACAAACCAGTTATTTTGACGATTTTAGTGCTCTAATGTTAAAAATGATTTTCATAAATTCTTAAAGTTATCACAAATTCATACGTTGATTATCTTAACTATACAATTATTATACGATTACTGATAAGTAGAATGTTTCGATAAATGGTATCACGTACTTTCTGCAGTTTCGAAACTCTGAAACTTTATTGGCTGCGCGTAGTTTATCATTGCCGAGAGATAAGGATGAACTTGCATTGTACTGCCCGTGTATTGGATCGCTTGTACCTCTTCAGTACCTTCGCCTCCGGCAGAAGCTTCGCCTTCCTGCACAACGTATCAAAGGTAATGTGTAAAATTGTTGATTTTTCAAAAAAAGTGAAAAAGTTAAAATGAAATTTAACTGTTTGAAAATTTATTAATATGGTTAATTACCTTCGGTGGTTCTGGAGGTGAAGCAGTTGCGGGTGCACTAGCATCTTCTACTACTTCATCCTTGTCTTCGAATTGTCCGGCGCGGAAAAGTTCGAGCTCGATTTTTTCCACTTCCGGCTTCAATCGTTTATTTTTTATCAATATTTTGCTTTTCAATGCGCTTGGCGGAGGGAGAACACATCCAGGCTCAAGCTGAAAATAATGTACACGTTCACATATGATTATTTTTAATTTGCTGATTGGGTCATTAAGTTGGTTCTACATTAGTCACATTACAACGTCGCGAGTCGCAAGAGTGTCGCAAGCGTTGCAGTCCAATTAGAGTTGAACTAGCTTGATGTTGATTGGACCGCAACGCTTGCGACGCTGCAATGCGACTACTGTAAAAGCAGCTTTAAACGTGGTGTCTCTTGACGCATCTCTCACTCACGGGATAATCTTTTAAGGGCTCTTTCAGCAACAGGTCACCAAATATTTCGTCGCAATATTTAGCCAATTTATATTGCTGCTTCATGCAGCAGTGATTCTCGAAACTCAAAATTATAGGATACTCGGAAGTGACGAATGCAGTATCTCTTATGGCATAAATCACATCCTTGAAAAGGATGTCGGTACACATAGCTTTGCCGTGAGTTATAATCGGCTCCTCGTCCTCGCCCTTTCCATCCCAACAATCCAACTCGACGCATCTGCAGTCGCAATAGTCTTTTTTCATTTTCCATCCGGAATCATTTCAAAATATTTTTCGATCTGTATATCGTTTTCTATTCAATCTATATGTCGTTACAAATTGAAAGATTGTATTACCTGCAACCAGCAAGCAGAACCTGTCGATACATTTCAACAGTGCTCTTGCCACCGATCTGACGGCCGCTAAGATAAGTGTTGTGGCTCGAATTGATATAATAATGCGAGAGCGGCTGGTCCAGGTCCATCCATTCTTCTAATTTGTCTAAAAATACCGGCGCGTTCTCATCTGACATCAAGTATCGTATAAAACCGTCCTTCGTCAGTTTCTCTGAAAATAATAAAATTAGAATACACGACATAAAAAATGGACAATAACGAAAAATAAATCAAACTTTGTGGGAGCTCACTTTCCGCTTTTGCTTTCTCATCCGTTTCGTAGTCATTGATGATCTCGATACATCTCTTTTCTGTATACAGTGGATATAACATCTCATTGAGTCGCGGATCTCTCTGTTTTGTATTCATGAACTCCACCAATTGCTGCAAATTTATGGTATCGATTTTCCCTTTCGTGCTATAAACCAGAAAATAATGATGTGTCTTCTATAATGTGAGAAATTATGCAAAATCCAACTTAATACTTACATGGATTGAAAAAGCTCCTCTATATCATTCCTAGGACATATCTTGAAGTACAAATTATAAAATTTATCAAACGTGAAAGCCTCTGGTTCTATTTTGTCATTCTAAAACGTGAGAAATAATCACTTAAAATTAACATCAATATATTTAAATATCAAATAATGTTATACACCAAATAATAATATTTAAAAATTAATTTAAACTTTGTGTATATATACTAGGTAATAACTTCGTAAATATACAAAATAATATTATTTTTTTTACGTGTAGATTTACGTGCAAAAATCATTTGTAAGAGAAACACTTTTACGTTGTTGAATTAACGAAAAAGCTAATAATTCTCTATTCCATTTGAAATAGGAAAAAGTCGTACAACTTGCAGCGATAACTTTGGAATTTTCTTAAATGAACTTTAAGTAAACTTTATTGATCGCATTCACAAACGTTAATTAAGGCTCTTTCCTTTTGAAAATTCTCTTATTGACTTACCTTTCCACTGGGCAGACCTAGTTCCGATAATCCTTGATAAACGAGTTTCTCGGTCTTTCCAGATGCAAAAGTCTTTGATATCACTTTCACAGGAACCTTTCCTTTCGAATCGACTTGAAAACTTAGCCGCATCCAACTGGCAGATCCGATTAATGAGCAGCCAAATTTTATTTAATGATCAAAATAAACGACATCAGCATTCAAATAAATATTTGTTATATTTTTCCAGCTATATTGGATTCGAATTAATGAATACGTACTGCTTCATAAGCTGTATTGTTGGACAAACGTTACTTGCTTTTGTATTGTGCGTAATTAAACGCAAACCGGCTTGCCAATCCTGAATTGATTAACCACAGATTAACATTAACATATAGAGAAGTTAAATAAGAAGATAATTGAGAGCACTAATTACATTATCGATAAAGCCATACAAAATAAATGCAAACGGAAATCAAATGTATATTTAAAACAAAAGATAAAAGAGCAAATTGAATAATTAAATTAAATGTTAAATTGTAAGTAATGTAAGTTCTGTATGTTAACGGTCAATGTTCAGCTTACGCTGCCTGAGTAATTTAATTATAATAAGAATATAACATTTTAGAACGAAATTAAAAAAAAGTTGCAATAGTATTCATAGATTTTCTAAAGTTTGAGTTTATGTATACAATCTTAATTCTTTCACAACTTCTTGATTATTACCTTAGCCATTTGTGCATCCGGGCATACAATGTGCTGATAAGTAATATTAGTATAATCCACTCCGGAGCAGATAGTTAAACTTTTTTGGTCTAATTGCTCAGAGGTTCCGTGTTTACTTAATTTATTGCATAACTTTGGATCCTAAATAAATCGATCGTCGACGTTACTCAATGAAACAAATCATTATTACTATAATATTGTTCTCACAAATCATTCCAGCAGCATTGCAACGATCCAGCAATATTACGATAACATTGCAAATGTTGCAATGTCATTGCAAGCTTTAATGACGTATGGATTATTTTTCTTTATACGAATTTTTTTACCTTTGGCGTACCCCCATAACGAATATCGCTCACTTGAGCCAGTTCTATAACATCACCATCCTATAAAAAGTTATGAGCTATTTACGTCGTAAGTTCGTTTATTAAAAACTAATAGCCGAACAAAATTTATCTATTTAGAAAGAAATCTATAAGGATTCTGCGGGGTAAGCTACCTTGTCGTCACTTTTCCAATATATGAAGAAACCGTACTCGTCGACTTTAAATAGGCAATCCGGCTCGTATTCGGTAGTCTCCTTGTCTTCGAACCATCGATCGAACACCGAGCCATTTCTCAAGAGCTCCGGCACTTCGATGCGCCAATTAAATTCGAACTTCTTTGTCATGGTTCGGCAACTTTAAGCGGAACGACGTTAAGGTAAACTTCAATGCGAACTTGAGCTTGCCCGATGCTCAAATGAGAGAATGCCATCGCGGAACTTGTGTCCCAGAGACGCATAATGCAATTAGTTATATCTAATTTACCGTATGAGGATTCAATACGATGGAAACCCGCTGCGTAACGGAGATTTTAAACATAAGTGCGCTTATAGCGAAACCTTTTCTATAATTCGTTGTATTATATAGTCATATTTAATAGCCAAATATGACCCGTGAATTGTTATAAAGAGAAAAAAGTGATATTTGTTGTGACAATGATAAATTTTGTTTCAACTTTTTCGAAGATAAAATGTTATAAAAAAATTAAGAGAATATGGAAAAGTCGGATACCGTTGAGAAAAATACATTCTTGGACAATATATAATAATTTATTAAAATTATAGTTAACGATGTACACATCAGATTGTGTATTGGCTGCGATATATACAGAAATATACTCTTATGTCAAATCAGTGCTTGTCTATATAATCTATCACATGACAATGGCGTAAAGAGTAACAGTTTACAAGAAGTAATAACACTTTATGAGAAGTATATAACAGATATATTCTTATCCTAATGACTCTTTCGCAAGTGATTACCGTCCTTATAACGAGATTATAAATATGGAATGTTGACTCCCACGACAGTTATCGTAATGACCGACGATAAAAGTATACGAGCAAATGACATTTCTTGTTAACCAATCATTTCTTAAAATGCTTTGGCATCCTGTGGATTAAGCGCAATCATGAAAAGCGAGTCATTCCTGCGAGTCGATATATTATCACGTCTGAGGCTTCATTTGATTGTAGGAATTCAGTTGTATGGATGTATTCATGTCCGTTTGTGGCTCCTTAACCATGTCCTCTGGCGGCTCTGGCAAATTGTGCATGGGCTCCATGCAGTATTCCTGTCCGCAAACTTTACACGCCTCGAAGTGTGGTTTGATGGAATTTTTGAATCTCTGCGGATGAAAGTTCTTGTACAGAAAGTGAAATACTCTTTCTTTTCTAGCAATACTTTTTTAAAGTTATTTTTAGTGAACTTTTTTAGCAATTTAACAATATTTTTTAACGGTATAAATAATAGATTTTTTATTTATAATATGAAAAATCATAGTGTTAAATTTTTTGTTAATTTTTAAAGATATTTTCTATCAATTTTCAAAAAAAATTTCTCGTTACAATAAAGAAATTATTAAAGTAATATATATTAACATTTTTATTTTTTTTTAATAAGATAATTAACACTAGAACTACCAACAATTAACATATTTTAAAAGATAAAGAGAAAAAATACATATAAAGAAATTTAATTATATACATATTGTAATAAAAGTTATGGTAAATCTCAGAAAATATAGTACTGTAAGTTTAATAAAAAATTACAATCAGTTATTCAGACTATTTTGATAGTTCTAATGTTAATTTTTTTGTAATAAATTAATTGACTTCAATTCAACAGTGTTAATAAGACTCAACATACTTCAGCAAACGTCGCACCATCCGCTCTGACGAATACATAAACGGCAAAAGCGGGAATGCAAATTAAGGAGAGAGACGCGATGCCCCATCCGATCGCTTCTGCCCACCATGGATATATGTAATCACCGTTATGGTAGGTCGGCGGCTCATAATCAATTAAGCTGAACACCCATACAGCCTAAGAAGATAAGGTAATTGTAATAATACTGCCGTATATATCTTGAAAATTGCCGACTGCATGAAGATAAGTGCAAGGGAGCAGGATTGAAAGCGAGCAATTATCTATATAATTGTTATCATCAGATAAAATCAAGGTATATAACATGTTTTTCTGAGAATAATAGTTGCGCGAACATGAATAATTAGCGTCTGTGAATCCGTTTCTAAATCCGGAACGTCGTACTCTGTTTGATTTGCAGTCAACATTTTTTTAGTCGTTACTCGGATATATAGATTGTCGATACAGAATAAAAGTTTTAACATCCTAAAATTAATATTTTTGAATACCATTATAAGAAGAGGCGCAGCGAGGAACCAACAGAACCGGAAGTATTTCGAAGGCAAGCGTCCAGTCATCTCCTTGACGTTATTGCACAGTCGCCGTACGCCGTAAAGCCACGAGATGGCAATTACTTCGAAGAACGCCAAGAACATGATAGACATCGATGCGGCGTAATGATCTATTAGTTGGAAAAAATAAATACCGCCCTGAGGCAGTCAGAAAATCATTTAGTAAGGGATAAGAGCGCGTTAATTTTTATTATACTGTGTAAACATCAATTCGTTTTACCTGCGTAATATTTGGCAATCCAAACAAGAACGAAATGACGCATATGAGAAGGACCAGCACTTCGTGGCAGAGAAGATGACGCTTCACCCAATTCGGGAAACCGTCTTGGATCGACGTAACAACCACTTCAACAACAGCAAACTGAAATTCCGGAGTTTATGTAATAAAGCATTATAAAAGTCCAATTATTATACGATTTTCGAAATAGAAAGGTTGTTAAAATACGATTTGCATTTATTAAGCTATTGAGTAATGTGATTCTAGTATTTGTTTTTCGTTTTATGACTGACACTGTTTGTATGTCCATAGATAATTCGCACGACGATACAATTCTACGTAATTGCGTTTGTTTACAGATTAATCTGTAATCGCGCGTGTACACAGCATCGCGATAGGAAATAAGGTTTTATCTGTCATTATTTGTCATATAAGCTTACTTGACTGTTTAACGAAAGGCAGACCAGCATAAAGAAAAATAGCACAGCCCAGAGTTGAGAAGCTGGCATCTTGGCTAGCGCTTGCGGATAGATGACGAAGACTAGACCAGGTCCTTGAACGGAAATTATGATTTATCTATAAAATGTCAGGGGGAGTTAATCTGACAATGTCAAATAAATGAGGAAAAAATTAAAAAAAAAGATGCAACACTCTCGACATTGTAAATTCTACATCTTATACCCTTTCTCTCCATAACGCGCGTGACATACTTATATTGATACTTACATAATTTATCATATTTAGCGTGACGTAAACTTCATTTCTATACGTACCATCGGTTAGGACAGCATCGACAGACATGTTTTGCTCCAGCGCTATATTGCCGATTGTGGCGAACGAGAATATTCCAACTAGTAAACTACTGAAGGCGTTTATGAGTGAAACAGCAACGGTGTCTACCAGGATTGTGTTGTGGAATCGGTTGTAACTCGCAAAGCATATCATCGAGCCGAAAGCGATTCCTACAGAATTGAAGACTTGCGCCGCGGCGTTAATCCAGACCTAATCAATAAATATTGATAATAAATGATATAATTAATAAATATTAGACTAATATATGAATAATTCAACTAATTATAGGAAAATGCCATTTTAATCTGAGCTAAATCTTGGTGCTTAACCTTTAGAGGATGGGAATCTATTTTACAACTTTTTTCCTTGAATACGATTTATTATAATTCATTATTTGATTACACACACACGTTCTTTGTCTCAAAATATGAATATACTGTTTCAGCGCCACTATAGCTTTCCCATCCTGTAAAAGTTAATAAAATTTCTCAGTTTGAATTTATAAATATTCAGTTAATTTAAATTGAACATTTATTAACTTTAACTTTAACTAAAAATTCAAGATAAGATACTTTTTTTATCATGTAAAGAAGACATGATTTTAATTTGAAGCTAAGTTGTTAATACATTTTTAAGCTTTAAGCACAATAATACTGTATGTATATTTATACTTGTGTACGTCTTCACATATACATTTTCTACAGTAATAGAATAATCTCTATTATTAATCACGACTATACTATTATTCTATTACTCATCATATTTCTTTTTCTTGTTAACTGAGAAATCGATATTACGATACCTTTGCATCGCCAAGCAATTCCCAGCGTGGATGGAAAAAGAATTGCAGACCTTTCGAGGCTCCCTCCAGAGTGAGGGATCGCGTGAGGAAGACCACGATTAGGAGAAAAGGCAGCGTTGCTGTCAGGTATCTCACTTGTGCTGATGACTTAATGGACTTCCAGATCGAAAAATATACCATGATCCATGCAGTTATCAAGCACGCCACGAGCTCCCATCTCAAAATCCCCGGCTCTTCGATGCCATTACTAATTTGCAGGACCTTGTTGCTAAACAGAAAGGCAATTATTCTTTCTTTAAACACTTCGAAGCTACAACACGCGATCGTTTTACGAACTATCTTACACGCGATATAATAACTAGAGGTTTAAAAATTTTTTTTTTTAGAAAGTATACATGTAATGTATTATCCATATATTTATATAATTACAATAACAAATTGAATTAATTAGTGTAAATTACTCGAAGAAGTCCTCGGATGGTGTTCTTGTCAGATTCGGCCGAGTTCGATTATCGATGGACCCATAACTAGGCAGCCAACAGCGCGGCGAGTTCCACGAGTTGTCACAACGTGACCATGGTTGCTCCGATCGGAATGCCGAGAAGAAATAGTAGATTGCGTAGGCTATTATCACATTATGGTAGGTAGACATTAAAAATGATATTACGACTGATGATAAACCTGCTCCTATAAAGACAGATATTAATAATTAATATAATGTTGTAAATAATTACATGCAATTTAGGATATATATTCCGAGGAGGCTCGAGGTAAAATTACAACTTTAAAGCGCTCAAATTTCCGCAATAAAGAACAAAAATAAATAAATATCATTAATACAATAATTAATTAGTAATTAAAAATAAGTAATTATTATTAATATAGTTCGTAATATGCAAAATAATAGGTCAAAAACAAGGTCAACAACGAGAGCTAATTTAGAGTGTTGATTAAAATATAATTGTAAAAAATAATCTTTATTTACGAAGATGGTAACAATTAATCCTGAACATTTCAATTACATTATAGTTCTTTATCAGAAAATCTTTATCTTTTATCTTTATTAAAATATTCGTAAAAAATAAATAGATATTAAATTAAATTATTATGATAGACGATAAGACTGGTATTCATAGTCAATTTTTATATTTAAAACTATCTTAAGTATATAGTAAGATTAAGTAACAAGCTAATCATAAGGCCATATTAGCGTTTTGACACATTACTTAAAAAGATCTTAAGTATATAGTATTAAGATTAAGCCATAAGCCAATTATAGAGCCGTATCAACATCTTAAGACATTACTTAAGACGGTCTTAAATATAAGAATCAACTACAAATGTCATCTGTCAATAATTAAAAATAAAGATACCTAAATTAGAACGTGATAAGAGACCAACATCGAGATTAAAAGTGCGTAAACACACGGCGGCACAAATATTATATGAAACAACTAATAAATTATGAAAGATAAAAGTAAAACGTGTATAAATGATCGTCATATTTTTAAAACTAATAAATATACAAATATAGAGTAGTCAGCCGGCGAAATAAAATGTAAAAAATCTCGTCGTTCGGCGACCAGAACGGGTTTAGTCCAGGTAATAAAATTGTAGTTGTTAAAAGAAAAAGAAGGGATCAAGTGTCAATAATAAAAAAAAGATCTATAAAGATAGAATGACGCTAAGAGGATAAAACAGTGATAATTTTAATCCTATTATATTCACTCAATTGTTCTTTTCGAGTTAAGTATGTTTCCAGTCAACGTATTTTACGACGCTATAAAAATGAGCACGTGAGAAGTTTTTATCAAATAGTCGTTGGAGATTTAATCGGCAATCTGTCACATCGCGACTCTTATCCATTTACCTTTCAACAATGGACATACTTGACCCAGGGCTCCGATTGGGCCGCGACGAGTGAATTGTCCGATGCTGAGCTCCATGTACAGCAATGGTACTCCACATACTACGAGTATTAAAAAGTAAGGCACGAGGAACACACCTGAAACGATGCGATCGATATAAGTGAGGTCTCCTCGGTGCTAAACATTAAACATACATACGAAAAAAAAAACGATTTTGTTGAAATATCTAAAAATTCAGCTAGATACAGATTTGAAAATAATATTATTGAACCATTAAAATAATTATGTAGGAAACTCAAGCATAATGAACAATACCGCAAAAACTTTTGATGTTTCAACAACAAATTTGAGCATCTTATCTAATTATTTTTAGATCTGATAGACCAATAAAATTAATTTCAGATCTGTGTCTAGCTAAATTTTTAGATATTTCAGCAAAACCGTTCTTTTCGGTATATAACTGTAAAGAATGATGGCCTTCCTTTCTCTCTCTCTCTCTCTCTCAAAAAAAAAAAAAAGAAAAGATTAATCCAGTTAGCGGGAGACACAGGTCTCGCCCAGCATTTTGCTAAACCAAGGTTCGCGCGTGCACGTAATAAGTACCTCGACATTAATCATACTGTGGGTAGCGACAAGGTCACTGGATGTAACTCTTTATTCGCAATAAACGATGATCCGTAGCGGCGCTACGGATTACGACTTAATTTGACATCGAGCATTTAGCTGCCGCGAGAACGGGAGAGGTGACGATTAGTCAGCTGTTGGCAAGTTTCCTTCCATTGCCAAACGCTGATACAGCTTTCCGAGCGCACGATTCGTACTCTGTCGCGCTTACAGCGACTATTATTATGATTTGATCTCATTCTGTTACACAGATTTTTTTATATTTGGGACATTTTGATCCATTTGCGTAAATGCACGACAGTCATGCACGTACGGTAATTTCTTTTACATCTCGCGGAAAGATGTAAATTTCCCAATCTCGACGGAATGCTACACAACACGTCACGAGCATAAATCATACGGCGTTATCCGATCTGTTTTTCTCCGTCGCTTCAATCCGAGCCGAGCAACGACACGAATGACAGTTTTCATTTAGTTCGCTGCAGATGATATAATATACGCGATCACACACTCCAAATAAATTATCGATATTAAACGAAAATGCCGGAGATAACAGTCGGAGCCGATTTAATGTGACATATCAATAATGATTACGAGCGATTTAATTTCTGGCGAAAATCCAATCGCGTCGCATTACAAGGCGGATAATGACGCACACTCGCATTAATGTTGTTACAGTTATTCACTACAGTATCGTCTTTATCACGAAAATGCAATTTAGAGTATCGCAGTAACAATGACTATCGGAACGTACATCTCGCGTGTGCAAGTAGAACCGCATTATTTCCTCTGATTTTCCGGTCTTCCGTTTAATATGTGATTTTGCAAAATTATGCACTGTATTTTTACATCAGTACTATGTGCTATTTGTATAACGAATTAACTTGCCCATGCATAGGCTGTTGAAATTACAGAGTAGTTTCCAGCTCATTATAAGCATGGAAATGTATTATACAAAAGTTACAATTAAATAAAAGTGTTTTGTAATATTCTACAAATGGAAATAACTTTTATAAGATGCTACATCTTTATTAGTGATCTTTTAATTAATTAAATTAATTTAAAAACCATAATAATAAATAAATGACACTTAGTTAATTTTAAAATAATCTTTGTCCGTCTCTCTTCTCACCTCTCTGCCGTATCTAATTATATCCTACACGAAAAGAACAGTTTTGCTGAAGTGTTAAAAAATTTAGCTAAATACAGATCTGAAAATAATTTGGTTGGGTTATTAAAATAATTATATAAGACGCTCAAACTAATTGTTAGAATGTCAAAACTTTTCTGATGAGCGTTGCTCATCATGTTTGAATTTCTTATGTAATTGATAGTGAACAAAATTATTTTCAGATCTGTATTTAAATTTTTAGATATTTTAACAAAAAATTCTTTCCCTGTATATTCTTATTTATATTATAATAACGTTTGAAATACAAGTCTTGACTGAAGGCAGAATAAAAAGTTATAAGACGGTCAAATAAACGTCGAAATTATGTCTAGATATCAGAGTGTGCGGTGAAGATCACATGTATAACACACGATCGACGCGCTTGTCTGATAAAAGTGAGAGATCTCTAATCCACTTTGAGCTCCTTAATCTTCGCGTAAATTTAGATCGACGTCGTCCGAGCGAAACAATAAATCATTTCAATCGTCTAAATCGGATCGCGTTATCCGAGCCGGTTTTCCGGCTCTTCAATTTAGACCGACAGAGCACGTAGCACCGAGATGATACTCGGCCGATTATTATTTCCACACCGGTGTCATTGAAATCATTTACCGCGCCCGGCGGCGTAAGCCGTGTTCCGGCAAGGTCATGTATCAAGTTCCGCGAGCGAATTGCGCCACGCATCCGGGCTCCGGATGCTTCCAGACTTTGAAAATTACCGGCAACACGATACGCGGTCACGTTGCCGGGATTGCGAGAGAGCTCTCCGCGTTGCCCTGAATCTAAAGCTCGGCTTACGCAAGACGTCGCGATTTTCAACATAGGAGCCGCCTCAATTTGTTCCTTCCGCGACGCGGGGTGTAATTTTTTTCTTATACTGCGCGCGCGATTTTTATTCGATAATAATACTCTTCTCGCGTCTACGAGAAGAGTATCATTGGCTGGTTCAATACGTGCAACAATTTATCGTTTACGATTCGCCACGTTTTCACGTCGCGTTATTCCCACGATAAAACGTTGGAAGAAATACTTGAAGAATATTTTTAAAGGGAAACGAAAAGACATTGCACAGCGTTTTAGAGTTACTTAAATTAGCTGCTCCAAGCGCGTAAAAATTGGAGGATAATATTACGGATTCTGATTGCTCCGTCAGCTGTTCCGACACTGACGTATTTCGCAACGTGCAAAATAATCGCGTGTTCTTATCACGGCAATGCTAATCATGGCGAACACGTAGCGATTGTGTGTCTGCTCATTTGACATCTGCTTTATTTTTTCGACCTTATAACTGCAGGCAATATCTGCGTGAACTCTTTTCTTTTTTTTCCCCCTCTTTCTCTCTCTCTCTCTCTCGCTCGCTCTTTTGTGTATCTTGTAAGACTTCTTTCACACTTTGTGAAACCGGGTATTCTCGTCACGATTACGCGTAATTTACGTAATAGATTCATGCATTTATCGTGAGACTCACCGCCGCCACTTTTGTAGCACAAGTAAGGAAATCTCCAGACGTTACCGAGACCGACGGAGTAGCCTATACAGGCGAGAACAAATTCCATTTTATTCGCCCAGTGAAGCCTCCTGGGCTGCCGATAATCGCCGGGATCGTCCGCGTCCAGATCGTCATAGCTGGTCCACGTAGAAACGTCATCCTCGAAACTGCAAAAATGCAACGCACAACGTCAAGCTTTTATATTGCAAATGTAGCCGGTGCTCGAACGAAAGACATCTACAGCGTGGAATGCGAAAGAAAAATTGAGAGAGCTCTGAGAAAAATGTTACGAGTTATGACAGTTTAATGGAAAAACAGCAATAAACGTTTTATTAAATATTTCGCCAGGCGAATAATATATAATTTAATCTTCGCATCGTAAAGTGGGAAGGATATCACTTGCGGGCAGTACGTCTCTATAAATTCCCTCGGAACAATAAATCAGCGAAGGATCATTACTACCGTGACGACTCTTTCAAGTGCTTAATGATTTCGCACCTCGTATTATGCATCTACGGAAACTGTGCTTAATGCATTGTAAAAATTTATTTGACGGAAAATCACACAAAGGCGCGTCACGTGTCAGCCGTGCTTTACGGGTTCATTTGCATGACGCGCGTTCACATAAAGTCCAATGGCGACCATTAAATATTCATCGTCATTGTTTATACAGCGGTCGATTTCGAGTGTCATAACGTGACGTACCGATTAGCGATGGTAACGCAGTCCATGTATTACACGAAATATCGTAGGATCGCCAATTATACCTCGCTGATTCCGCTCGCGTTTGCGTTCATATATATAGGCAAAGGGCGCTCGCAAACGAACGAGAGCCAATACCGGAAAGAATCCAGTCGGTGTTACCGTGATAAAAGCGTCGCGTGAAATAGTATGGAACATAAAAACCGACTTTTGCACGGTGCATTATGTAAGCGTCGGGATCGAGGAATTTTTATGCATTTATCGCGTAAATTTGTACTTTACGGTGCGGTGAGCGTAGAAATGGTGTCAGGCCGCCATGGGCGGCGGAGGGGCCAGGAAAGGGCGGTCGACAATGGCTGAAAGATATACGCGACGCACCTGTGTACATTCCCGTTCGTTTCGCAACGGAAAACTAATATACCACGCCGCGGAAGCATCGTGGATACGATAATGCGCCTCGTATACGGCATGTCAGTAGCTTTTTTTTGTTTAAAGAAGATATACGTATATGTCATCGTAAATATGACAGTAACGAAGACGAGTGTCAGATGGCACCGATCGACAGAATTTTCGCACTGGAGAAGACAAGGACTAATTTCAGACGAATTACTGCATATTACGATTTTAAAGGTGATATTAATAGACGTAATTGTATCGCATATTATTTGAGGACTTTGAGAAAAGTGTTTCCGGTTTCTCTCTATTTCATACGCTGTAAAAAAATTTCATGTAACAATTATAGTGAATAATTTGAGTAATTTTTACATTTTTACACACACGCGTAAGTGAAATTGTAACTTACAAATTTTTTCTAGTAAGTAAATATTTGCAAAAGTAAATTAACAATTGATGAAAAGTAAATTTACAAAAGATGTTAAGGTTCTTGACTAGTCGCCGCGATTGTGTCAGATGTTAAATTATTTAAGAAATCAAGTTTCTTGCATGCCATTTATAAATAAAGAAAATTTGGGCGAAACAAAATAATGAGATCGCTTTAAAACACATATAAAAATAGGCTGAAACTACTCTTACCTCTCCCCCCTCTCGGCAGTCAGTAAATAGTCGTAAAAAGAACATGAAGTGAAAATAGGCTTAACCTCACTTCATATGCCTTTTACGACTATTTACTGACTATCAAGGGAAAGTGGAGTAAGGATAATTTTGATCCATTTTTATAAATGTTTTAAAGCAATCTCAAATTTAGCTAAATATAGATCCAAAAATAATTTTGTTAAAACTCTTGAAATAAATGAGATATTATTCAAGCTGATTGTTACAATAACTATAAATTTTCTTACTCACCATGCTTGAGTGTTTTATTTTGATAGTTTAAAAAAATAATTTTCAATTCTGTAATTCCAATTAAATTTTAAATATTTCATCAAAATCGTTCTCTTTGTGCAGAGCGCTCCGTTCTTTATTCGCGTTAACGATCTCATGAAGACGGGTATCGTTTTCACACACGGGAGACCCGTGTGCGCGCCGCTTCAAAAACGAGATGTGACAAGATCTAAATGTAGGACGACGATTACGGGTCGTTTCAAGCGCTGTCCCGTTTCAATGGAAGAAGCAGGACGGAATCGCAACAATATGTCACACCGCACAAGCACACCTACTTACAACAACCGGTGGGGTCTTACATTGTACACCTATTATCCACTTACGTCTTCGGGACGATACGCCGGAATTGCAGACCCTGGATGACGAGATCTGACGGCTTCGCGTCGAGCTTAGACGCGTAGCGCATCTCTCGTCACGTACGTAGAATCCGCCGCAGCCCGATGATAGACGAGGCCCTAATCAGAGCAATCGAAACCGGTCTAACTAGACCGGTCTAATTAATAGGTGAATTCAATTTTCGATGACGGTGGATTCGTATCTCGCGAGCGGAGACCGTTTTCGTACGTGTATAGCACACCGACATTTGAACTCACCGAAATTATATCGGAAATTATACCGGTTTCGATCTCCCGACTCTAATTTGCGGACACGAGGTGAATCTGATGCAGCAGCTTCCGCGCTTTAGAACAGGTAGCGACAAACGTTGATTAGAACTATCCGTGGTAAATTGAGAGCCAATTTCATCGACGCTGTCGATTAACTAACTTGACTCTTGCTCCTTTCCGGATCATAGTCCTGATTGCAATGCAGGTATGCAGTGTGAAAATTCTATCAACAGCAATTAATATTAGTCCATAGCGAGAACGATCCTAAATTGCACTTAAGGCGATCTGTATGGAAAATTCAATAGGTGTTCTAGAGTCAATTTTAGTAGCGAAAGCTTAAAAAAAAGGATAAATGTAATATATTTCAATCTATTATTATTTATTTACTGTATCTATTAATGTTATGTAATCTATTATTACATAATTATTTCAATCTGACATATATTTTAATCCTACATTAAAATTTATTTTATTTATCTTCTATCTCGCGCATTCTCTATTCTTTAGCTTTAAAACTATAACCTAGAAAGGAACGGTAAATTTAGTTAACCATTAATAATTGATGCGACTAACCTTGAATAGTGTAAAAAAATTGTGCTGCATCAACGCGACAAAGCGAAGTGGCAAATTTGCAACTTGCGATACAATTCACACGCATTAGGCAAGCACCTCCGGAACGTTTTACAGTATCTTTATTGTTTGGAGATAATCGTCAGGATAGTTTTCGAACAATGCGCTCTCGAACTGCTTCGCGGAGCTCTTCTACTGAAGGATACATCGGGCTACAGCTTCATTTTTATGTGTCACGTAAAACGGTTCAGTTTATTTAGGATATTTACACAAAGTATTAGATCCTATGTGAGAAGCATATGGGCGATAGAGCTTTTGTCACACAATTTAATTATGCTGCTAATTCACGATTATGATGTATCTTAGAATTGGAGATAAGGACACGTTAAACAAAGGAATAATTTAATTTAACGCGACGGGAAAATAATTTAAAATTCAACGATCATCGATTGCCTCGATTGTGTTTGCCAATTTTTTAGATAAAACTGTCTCGATGATTTAGTGGGATTTAGGTGTTATCTCAAGTGAGCGCTATATTATTTTTCTTAAAAGAAATCTTGTCTCTGATAATTCTCTCCCAATATATTATTTTCATCACGCGTGTCCTCATCAAACGTGTAAACACGAAATTTTTTATTTTATACTTATACTATTACAAAACGGGCGCTCTAATAATTATACATGGAAAGAACGGTTTTGCTAAAATACCTAAAAATTTGGTTAGATTTGAAAATAATTTACAAATTTGAAAATAATTTCATTGGATCATCCAAGTAATTACGTAGTACGTTTAAATTGATAACAATGTTACAGAAAGTTTTAATATTCTAATAACATGTTTGAACCTATACAATTATTTTGATATGGTCCAAATAAAATTATTTTTAAATCTGTATATACGTGATATATAACGACAGTTTTGCTAAAATATCTAAAAATTTAGCTATATAGATATAGATTTGAATATAATTTTATTGGACTATATATATATCAAAATAATTATGTAGGACCTCAAATTGTTAGAATATCAAAACTTTTTGCAGCATTGATCATCAAGCTTGAGATTCCTACGTAATTATTGTCGTTGAACAAAATTATTTTCAGATCTGTATGTAGCTTAAAATTTTTAGAAACCTTAGCAAAACCGTTTTTTTTTTTCGTGTAGCATCGTAATTATCTCTTTGAAGACTAATTTCTTTTTAAGGAAAAACGTTCTTCAAAGAAATAAAAGAATAAATTCAGTGAGATTAATTGCGGTGAAATTAATCGCGTATATCAGAAACAGCGACACAGAACTAATTTCTATCTCTTCTGTTCGCCACCGAACTTCTGTATATACGTGCATCTCGTTTTAAGAGATAAAATACGAACGTAACCTGATCGTTCTTTTTTTTACAGACTCCGCTATTCGTTTTTGCACGAAAGCGTACTCACGTTCAAACGGGCACGCGTGCGCGCTATCACGTGGAACGTGATTCACGCGGCCGTTTCTTCGAAAGTACCGAGGCACAATCGTAGGCAATGTGTCTCACTTACGGTGGCGGATGTACCACGTTAAGCAGCTCCGACGGCGAAGTGGGAACTCTACGTATCGTGAGCTTCCGGCCGTCAGAAGAGCCCAGGCCGATCGACGCCAGAGATCTGATCGAGATCGTGTCGGGGAATGAGCGAGCCTGACTTCCGTTGTTCTCCGTGTACAGAGAGGTCCAGGTAGGTGATAATTGATGGCAGCAGGGACAGTGCTGATGGTTCTCATCCATGCTGAAGATTCTCGGCGAACGCACGTTGGCACAATAATGACGATAGTGTCGTGGATCAATGCTTCTGGCGCTCGATCTGCCAGGGCTATGCAGTCCGTTGTCGCGATCCGAACTCGACCCGGAGTCAGCCTGATCAAGCACCAGCCGTGGCTGCGGCCGTCGACGATGGCCTTTATCTCGAGGAATACTTTCGGGACTGTCCTCGTGGCTGGCCACCCTTTTGACATTGTTACCACTAGTGCTCGGCACAACGAGGATCTCATGTTTGGCGGTGTTCAGCAAACGATCTCTCTCCTCTTCTGAGGACCACTCGGCTTCGATCTCGGGGCGTTTTTGATGTTGACGGCGGATCCTGATCACGTCTGGATCCGCGTCGTCGGACACGTCGCCCTCTTCTTCAAGCATCGTGCTCATTTTACGCACGCAGCCGGCCTGTTTGCCGAGGAATTTGCCGTGGGTAGCATCCCCGTGCTTTGGTAGGACGGACTTGCTCTCGTTGCGCGGTTCGTCACTGGTGCTGCCATTGATGCCGCTATCGTTGTTACCGCTCTCGGTGTCCATAATCGCATGACCACTTCTACAGACAGAGAGAGATATATATATATATACATGTATATTGAGGAAGGGGAAAAAGACCTCTATTAGTATCTTAGGAAAATTGGTAGTTATAAGCGACCAACTTTTATCTGGCAGTAAAATAAAACTTTACAATAAAAACGGAAAGCACAGTACGAATAGTATATTCTAATAATAAATTTAAATTTAACGATATGTAAAAATCAATGATAAATTACGATTAAATGTCGCATAAATTAAGTTTGAATTTTAAGTTAATTAAATTTTTTAATTAAGAGAAGTAATCCTATTTTTAAAGCGGATCTGAGTACTTAAATATTTCAGTATAAATTTATATAATATATATCCAATTCTGTGTAAACCATGTGTCAAAATCTTTTTTAATATTAAAGCGCAATCATAAACAAAACTAGAGTAATATCATATATTATTAAATTGACAAGTAATTTAATAATATCTGACAAGCAATTTAATAGTATCTGACAAGCAATTTAATAATATTGATGCTAATAGTTAGCAAGATATTAAATTTTAATTAAACCTTTAGGCGCATCGTGTAGTGTAAAATCGCAAATCACTAAATTGTGACAACTGGTCCAGTGTATATAAATAACACACATACGATTCTTCGAAAGACATGTGAATAGAAGAAACAAGATACAGAAATTATTAAATAACCACAAACACATACGCGCGCACATCCGTCGAATCAAAGGAAAGGTTGGCTCCAGATTTACTGTAAAATTCAGAAGATAGAAGACTTTCGACAATCTTGAGACACCCAGAAAGGAACTTATAAATAAACGATGACGAGAGACATCAAACCATTGTTTGGGCTGCCGCCGATTTTATCGAAGGTGGTAGTGGCCAGTGAGGCGATGAAATACTTGTAGAGTTCAAACGAGAAGAATACGTTGCATTGTATCAAACAGCGTGATCAAAGTTCGGATTGATAGTCTGTGACTGACCTATAACACGGATTGATAGTGTGTGACTGACCTTAATAACATATAATACATTACAATACTCGCAAAACTGATTATGTGTTTTGAAAAATTGTTTAAAAACTTAATTTTTAAAAATATTCGTATTTGTATGATGTTATAAAAATTTTTCCATTTATTATTATTTATAAAAATGTATTTTATATATTTTTTATGCATTTATCTTTCCTATCGTTCTCTCTTTTTGTGCAGAAATGTCTCTCTTACAAAGATTTTCATGAAATTGTTTAAATGTTTGATCTACACTTTAAGAGTAATTATATTCCACGAATGTTCTCTGGGATGTTTTCAATGAAATATTCAATTTAACACACATCCGCGAATTGTATCATCCATAACATGATTACCGGTGCGAACAAGCTTTGAGTGGCGCGAGGAGTATTTCTCTCTGTGGTAGTTCATACGATTAACATAAATTGTCGAATATATATATTAGATGCCATCTCGCGACGAATATCAATTCGAGAAATTTGTACAACCAACGATTTAAATTATTTACTGACGAATGATTTTCATTATATCATTAATAGAAATCAAATAATATTCTATGAAACTTTAATTATTTACATAATACAAATATTTATTACGTTTATCAATATTAAAACTATGAAAACAGTCAAAGTGATTGATTTGTACTCACTAATTTTTTATCAAATTTATTGTGGTTCATTTACTGAGATTTGTCACGACTTTTGTTGCAATATGTAAATAATTAAATTAATCAATTTAATTTCTTCTTTATCTCTTTCCATTGATAAATATATTTAAATTTATGTAAATATTATTAAATAATAAAAATATATGCACGTAAATTATTATTCTACTGTTAATATCGTTAAACATAAAGAAGATATCATTATTCAAAAATCGCAAATATTAACATTCTTTATTAAAAATTGTAAAGAATCTTTAATTATAAGGAACTTTTAACGTTAACATTCTCATAAGTTTAAAGGTCTAAATTTTTCGATTTGTTTCAGCTTGTCTTAAGTACCATGACTTTAAATTTCTAAATGTTAATATTATTTAATTCTATTTTATTTACCCATTTAACTTTGATTTTTTCTTGTTTCCGTTTTAAAACTTAAATCCGCTAAAACAACTTTCTTTCGTCTCGACATAACGATGAGAAACAGCCACGTGACCGTGCGCGTACTCCTTGCAGATACGACTGACTATGTTGCGCGACTCTTTACGACATTCTGATAGCTAGAGATAGTGTCATCGCAGGTGCGTACGGCTATTAATCTAATATGATTTGTTACAAAATTCTTACGCTCAACAATGTTTACAAATGTCTTATAATGCTTAAACAATTTTCACGCGGACAGCCGTTACATCAAGCGTTACATCAAACGATCGCTGTGGAATAGTAATGGCACTAATTATAATTTTTTAATTACTTAGGCAAACAAGTTTTTTGCAATATCGACAAATAACGAAAAGTTAGAAAGGCAATAATCATAGAGAATAATATTTTACACATAAACATATATATATATATATATATTTATATTCACTGTTAAATTTTAAAGGAACAATAATAACCAAACAATAGTAATCATTCTGAGTTCAATATAATATGTTATTATTTTTAACTTCCATATATGTTAAAATGTAAAACAATTCATTTTTATAATTAGTTTTAAAGTAAACAACGTTCATATTAATGTATGAACTTAATAAATAATAAATTAAATTTGACTCAAATTTAGTCTATTATTAATTAAGTTTATACATTAATATGGACGTTGTTACGTATATATACTACTCAACAAAAAATTTAATATTTAAAAAAAAAGTGCAGTTTTACCTATAAAGTTTTCTTTAAAAATTTTCTTACAATTTTTCTTTACCAAATCACGCGATTTAAAAATTAAATATTGTATTTTTTACAATCAACATTTAAATTCGGCAAAAAAACATCGCAAAAATTTCTTACCCCCCCTCCCCCGAGTTCTGCACAATTAAATTTAAAAATAATTAAAAGTATTAAAATATAAACTTTGAATTTCAGACTGTTTTTCGAATCTTTTGCAATCAAGTCATTGTTAAGATATAGAATTGTAAAGATAAAATTGTTTTTAAGAACGACGTAAAGCTATGTACAAGTTTTAAGCTTTAAAATGCTTTTTACTTTATCTTTCGGGACATTGTGTGTGTGTGTGTGTGTGTGTGTGTGTGTGTGTGTGTGTGTGTGTGTGTGTGTGTGTGTAGCGCATTCCTTGTGTCAGGACATACACTGCTTAGAATTTTTTAAATAAAAACATGTTAATATTGGGTCGAAGGTAAAAGAAATAGATATTATATACTTTGCATTCAAAATATTGAGGATGTAGTCGTTTCAAAACGTTTTCTTTTCTTCATTTATGAAGATGAGTTGTTATGAATTTTTAAAGATTTTTTCCATACTTTCAAATTAAAACATTAATTTTTTATAATTATACTTTTTAAAAAAACATTAAATTTTTTACGATCGTTAACAAATAATTGAGCAATAACATATTAAAAAATTAAATGTAAAAGAAAGTACCTTAAAGTATCTTTGTTTTATAGTGATTAGGCTAAAATTTAAATTTTGTTTTGCAAAGAATATTTGTTTACGAGTGAATTCCATTGCGATCCCAAAATTTCTTTATGGTACCATATTTTGCATATATATTAGAATATTTTTGAAAATTGTTTCAGATTTTTAAAAGTGGATATAATTTCTCATTTATATTTATTTAAAACTAAAAAATTGATTTTTTGTATTATTATATTTTTTTCACTAAAGTTATCATTATGACGTAAAATAATAAAAAATTCTAAAAAATGTATATTTAGTTATTATAAAAACTTGATATATTTTGTAATTTTTATTACAGATGTAAAAAAAAACGGAAAATTTGTTAAAACGACCACTTCTAATATCTTGGATGCAAGGCATACAATATATTCATTTTTTTTTTATCTTTTATGATGATCATTTAAAAAATCCCAAATAATTTATTTTTAGGTGAACTGACACGTAGAATATGCCATATATACATACATATATATTTGTTAATTTTTCTATATTTTATACGATAAAAATAAAATTCATAAATCGAATCTTAAAAAATTTGGGAATATATTTGAAAATTACAAAGCATTGTTATGTAAAAACGAAACTTTGCACTTTCACTAACAAGGAAAAACAATCGTGCGTCACGCTGCGAGAAATCGAGATCGGAGAGCGCGCGCTTTTTGGAGGGAACGAGTTGTCACAGGTAAGCATCATCATTCGATGATACTTCCAAGCGCGTCACACGTCACGCGAAGTGCATTACCTGTCAGATTGCAGCGTGCCTGAAAATCCTGATCGGATGCGTCTCGACGAGACGAGCAAAAGTCATCCGCGTATCACTCGAGTGATAACGAGACTACATCCACTGTACGCGCGCGCACACACACATACGTACGCGCGAGCGCGTGTTTCTCGAACGTATCACGTGTACTCTCATCTGCGCGGTATGGCGCGCGTTCGTTCTCCGTTCACTTCTTTTTTTCCCCCGTTTCTTTTTCTCGGAATAAAATCGCACGATCGAAGTGAACAATCGCTTCGGAGTGATCGCTTTCGGGCCGCGAAGCGACAACACCGCCGTGAACCCGCGTTTCACGGCGATCCGGGTTCATGTGTACGCCCGTGCGTCGCGACTCGCGATTGCCCGCGATTCGTGACACACATACATACACGCGTGCACGGCACGCACGTATATACGCGTGCACAGCACCCACACACACCACACACCGTGTGATACCCACACCGCGACGTCAGCGCCGTTGTACGTGCGTGATTCGCGACGCGTGCATAGTTGAGAGACTCGAGTCCGAATCGTATGACTCGCTTACAACTACTCGGCCGGTTCTGGGAGGGGGGGAGACCGCTGATATCCTCCTCTGGATGCGTGCCCACCTCTCTCATGGTCAGCGCCTCGACGACTATTTAGCGGGGTCATGTAGGGGGAGGTATCAACGTATGCTCGGTCATGCCATCAGAGAGGAAGATGAATAGATAGATCGAGTTGTGAATGATTCAGTTTTCTCAGATTCTCGGATCAAAGTTCGAATACTTATTAGCGAAACGAGTAGGAAAGACAGAGTAGGAAAGACGCGATAATGATTGCGAAGAGAAAAAAGATTGATATCCAAATTTCAAGTTGGTAAATGAACAAATATTTATTGTTATCGATGTCAGGATTTAAAGATGTATCAGGTGTATAATCTCTGCAAAAAGTGACTGGAATTGGAAATTTATCCATATTTTCCGTATAAGAATGAATGTCGTAAACATATGAAATGATTCAATATTTATATTTAACGATACAATTTCGTAGCTTAAATGACAATTTTTTAAATTTTATTTTAATTACTTTTTAAGAACATATCTACTTCTTACTGAAATAATTTTTTATTCAGATTCTAAATCGCAGCTTAAATTTCTTGTATTACTTTCAAGTACAACATAGAAAAATTTTTGAATTTTTCATTTTATTCAAAAGAGAAGTACGTGTAATACATTCGTAAATTAATTGCAAGAAGATTTTATACTTTTCTATTCTTGCACAATTAATTGAGTTGAGATTTTATTTTACGATTTTCTGTCATAAATATAAAACAGGATAAACACCTAAAATATCTAGAATTCTGCACTTTGTATATTTGATTGAGAATGATATCGCATCACTGTTAACACCAATAACTGACCAACTTTTAATGTAGGCAGTTGACAGCCTCGCATTTTCTTCTCGGCACAAGGTCGCTTTCTCAAGTCTGAAGTTTTGAAGCGGTTTACCCATCATTAAAATAGCATTGATATCTGCTTATCTGTCTATAAATCTGGTAGAAGCCCAGCAAGCACAAAGTTACATGTAACGTACCCGTTAGTTGTAATATAACACGTGTGTTATATTACAGGTATGTTGAGTGTATGGGAAATTACAACTAACGGGTACGTTACATGTAACTTTGTGTTTGCCTGGAGGTATAGTTGAAAGAGATTCTATTAGATATATACACACACCGAATTTTCAGATGCTGATTGGGCAACGAATATTTCTAAGACCACTTGATTACCAAGCATGGGATTTCTTCCAAATTATTATTGAAAGTTAAATACAATATTTCGCTTATACTTAATGATACTCTAAATTATTATTGTATATATGTATGTATATAGTACAATAATTAGAGTTTATAGTTGCTAGTTTCATCTTACATATATGACATGTGAAACATTGGTTTTCGCCTGTTCAGTAGCAACCGTATTTACTGCGGTGACTTTAAGCTTACACAAAGCAAGCGTCAACTTCTATTTTACTGAATACGCAGACGACGACAAGCCATGAAACTGTATTGTTTATGTTTTAATTACTTTTTAATTTATTTTATCAAAAAACATTATTTTAATTTTATTCTAATAGTCTTTATAAAAAGCAATAATAAAAAACTATTTTAAAATATGTAAAGATTAGATTATTGGATTAGTTTATCTATTATTTATATTATTAATAGTATGTTATCTCTGATTTGTTCTTATAAATAGGGTACTTTTCAAAATAATGTCTATAAAGAAGATATAAAAAAAGATTTTGAAATAAAAAAAGTTATGATATACTTTAGACTTTAGAGAAAAAAAGCTAAAGATAAAGTGATTTTTTAGCTTTAACATTGTTAAATATTAAAGAAGCAATGTTAAATAATATTATCTTATTTTTAACTTCTATATATATCAAAATCAATCTATTTCTGTGGTCGGTTTTAATGTAATTGTTTAATAGACATTATCCATATTACTTTATGCATTTATAATTAGTAAATAATAAATTAAATTTGAATAATTAATATATTATTTTTTTTTAGTTAAATTGTTTAACACTATTGTTTTAGTCAAATTAACAACATATTAAATAGGAGCAATGGTGACTTATACAAATAATTCAAAAGAAGTAAAATTGAATATAATTTTACATTGTATATGAATTTAACAATAAACTTAAATTGAACATTCATTTATAAATTTTTCTATGTAATCTATTCATTTTGTAAGTCTAAGACAATGATTTATTTACAATAATTATATTTAACAACAATACATTTATAGAGTACACAATATTTTGTGTAAATAATTTTTATTGTTTAACAAAACTAGTAAAAGCCATCTAAAAGCTCATAAAAATCTATATGAGTTACAAACCCGTGTATTAAAAAAAGTAACGAAATTCCGACCGATCTTAGGTGGTTTTCTCATTTGGCTCACACCCCAGTTAACGAAGGTTCCATTTCCTTTCACTACGATTCCTTTTACGCGATAAACATTGATTATCGCGTAATACCCTTGTCTACATGTGCACTTGCAGCCGCACACGCTACCATACTGTTGGGATCATTGGGCCAAGGACCAAGCCTGGCGGTTGTCTGTGGATTCAATTCCCACGGAAAACCGGGTAACGGGTGCTTGAGACGCCGGTGTCATTACCCTAAGGTTAAGTGATAGGTACTATTGAATGTAACCTTTGCCTTCTTCGCACCTGAAGAGAAAATATCCGCTCGGAGAATAAACTGCACGATTGGAATTTCAGTGATTTATCGCGTTAAATTTGCGTTGAGCTACAACAACATAATCATCGATTGCATAACAAAACCTTCGCTATAATGTTGCTGGAATTCTTAAACCCTTCAATGTCACTTTCGATATGGCAGATCTGGCTTTTCTTTCCAATATTTTTTCTAATATTTTTTTGCTTAGCTTTTTTATTAAGGTACATTATATATATACATATATTTACTGTTTTTTAACGTTTAGCATTTTGATAAAAAATTTTTTTCAATAAGTTCAGTTTTATAATAAAAGTTATAAGCAATCCAATTAATTGGATATGCCATACTCAAGTGTATCATTCTCATGGTATGGCACCGAAGGATTAAGAAATTTTGAACGGTAAAGTAAAAAATGAACTTGCGATAATTTGGAATGCATTAGAAGGTATTTGCTTTTCATTCAATTTGCATACATTAAAAATCTGAAAACCAATTCGAATTTTTGGATCGCAGCACATAAGAAGCCCATACCTTTTACAATGGAACATCACGCGCGTTCGTTTGCATTTGACATTAAAGCCCACGTGGAATATTTCTGTAATTTCCTGTCGAATAATCCCTGTAGTCATTGTCTAGGCTCGCGAACGCGCCCATCTCTCTGACGTCGCGATTTATCGAAAAATAGAGATTTCTATTCCGAGACCGATTTTACGTTTCATTTATGTGATAATAAAGATTATCTCGACATTTCCGTGAGGTGCAATACAATACTTACGTCACATAACATAAAAAAAATATTCTAATGTTTTTTTTTCGTATTTCAACGTGATATGTTTTTCAATTGCTTCATGGAAATCTTTCCCGCGAAATCTATAGAGATAGTAATAAACAATAATTGTTACTCTGAAGAATAAAGTCTCACTTTTAAAGATTGAAAATTGAACCAGTTTTTTTTTAAATTGGCTCAATTTTCATTCTTTAAACTGAGATTTTATGTACTCCAAAAAATTTCGAGAGTATATGGCTGTCTCAATAAGTAAAATAGAAGAATCCTTCGTTAAATCATTCGTTGATCCATACAAGTCATCTTATGTAAATTAATGCACAATTAAGAAGTAGAGGCATTAGAGAGAGAAAGAATAATAGATTTTAACTTATTTTAGTATATATTAAAATAGATTGAAATTTGTTATTTTTATTATCTGTACTTTTTAATTGTGTATTTGGCTTTATCCGATAGACATTAATTAATCTTATCTCAGGAACGAAACGTTTACGCTCATTTGCATTATCTAATGCTAACTCGCAAATGTACTGGCTTGAATCTTCGGTATCGAAATATTGCGCAAGAAGCGTATAGTATTGGACGTCGCAAAACCGGACCAAATCATTTCACTGAGAAGACAATCGATTAATTCCCCCTCCCCTCTCTCTCTTTCTCCCTCTCTCGTCTCTTTGATTACGCTCTTTATTTTTTTTCTGTTTGTACCATATCTTTTATTGTCGCTTTTTAATTTTATTTTTATTTATTTTCTTTATTACTTTCTTTATTTATATTATTATTTTCCTTATTATACTCTATATTATTTTCTTTGTACATTTTCTCTCAGTTACTTCTGTATTGTTCTTGAAAAGCTTGCTCTAGAACATATACAGAGTATCTAGAACAGTAATAAACACCTTATTTCTCTCTCCTTTTCTTTTTCTCTCGACTTCGTTCAGTCATTCTCTTTTTACCCCTTTTTTTTCTCTCTCAAGCGATGGTTTCGCGAGATCAAGCCGCTGGCGGCAATCGAAAAGGAGAAGTCGTCGAGTTCTCGAGTTCGAGTCTGCAGGTTGCGCAAGGCGGTCGCCTCATATGTGTCATTACGTAAGGGCGAAAACTGCAAGCCGTATGGACCGTCGCCGAACTGTTATTGCGAGGAGGAAAATCTCCAGGTCGGAGCGTAATTGCACGCGTATATATAGACGAACACGCGTCACGCCGCGTTGGTGCCTGCGGGTGGTCCCTCCGCAGGTTTCCCGCAGGTGCGCGCAGGTGGGTGACCTGACCACACGCCGTGTCACGGCGATGACACCTGTGCATCTAAGAGGGTGTCACCGTTGTACGGTGTGCTCCCGATTCTATGAATTCTTAGAGGGAGCAACGCGGACGGTCGAGCCGAAATAAACTTTCCCGGGTTATGTAAAAGCTGGCGTCTCCGCATCGTGGACTGCGCCAGTATAAAGGTCGGCTCTGCCCCCAACGGTCCAAGAGTTGCTCGCAAACTTCACGCCGGCAACCATCGGGAGAGGCGAGCTCTACATGTGACCGCTTGCTCGTGGTGCTCAATTATCTTTTTTTTGTCATCTATTTCGCTTAAACGCGCTACACTCATTGAGTGAAGGCTCAAGACGCTTCTCATTTTTTCTTTTCGACCACGCGTTCTGCAATCGTATAAACGCGCGATCATCGTCGAGCAGACAACATGCGTATCCTGGTAAGTCTGCTCCTCTTCGAAGGCTTTCTGGGATCTTGCATGAAACAGATTCTAGCTATCCCTTGATGTGATAATCTTATAATCTCATAATATTAATATTATTAATAATATTAATAATACAATAATTATTATTAATATTAATAATATTATGCGTTAATAATTATAATTTAGATTAAAACGCGACAAATCTCGCGTAATTCGACAACTAAATTTTGGATTTTACTATAATGCAGTTTATTCAATTTGCGATAAACATAGCGGGCAAAAAATAAATAGAAAAAGAAATAGTCAATATTAAAAAATGAAGAGAAAAGTTAATATTTGTTTCTTCTTTCTGCCAAATATGAGTGATACAGTTTGTGGTAGTACCCATGATCGAAACCGAGAGAAAAGTATAATAATGTTTTTGCTTAATGAATGCATGAAACTAACATAACGTATATGCATGAATATAAGTTGTAATTTTAGAGGTACTCTGTTTAGAAGAAAAAGCTTTTATACGTAACATACAGATGAAGTATGATGTGCCATTGCATTTTTGTAATTTTACGAGGCTTTACGTATCTAGGTCACGGGAAAATATATAAATTGAATATGGATATGAAATATATATATACACACAGTATTTCACATTTAATCCTTCGTATATATACGAAACATTTATCGTTACATTAAACTTTGACATAGATTACTTCGTATTCATTTTGCCATCACTAATCTATACGTTTCAAATTGGCACTATTAAACAATGTATTTTATTTATTTTGTTTAAAAGTCGTTTATTCATGTCGGTCTATTTTTGTTATTTTATCGTACAGCTACGATAAATTTTCCGATTAAAAAAACGCATCGATAAAAATGCGCGCAATAATTTCTCCTTGCGACAGTCTTTCGCAGAAAAAATGGAGAACACGTTCAATTTTCATATATATTTCCGCATTAGTCACACTCCATGCATTTAATTTCCATGACAATAAACACGTCCAATCATTGAATTCTCTAAATCGCGAAGTCGAAGTTGATCGCCCGTACATATTTATGAACAGCCGTGCGTGATTTAATGTTATGTGCGTATATGGTAGGGTTATTCATCATCGTACGAAAGTTACGCGGCGCGAAACATCCATTACGACGTTGCATAATCTATTTAAATTACATAACTCATTAAATCTGTAAAGCTCACATAATGGCAATATTGTCGCGCGCGTCTTGCACTGATGATGACTAACGCAGACCATGACGAACGAGTCGTTAATTTGCATATACTTACGTATTTTCTAATTGTCCACTTTCTCTGTAGAAAGCACAAGTTGGCTAACTAATCCGAGACATCTGTTCGACACTTGCTGGCGATATTATTGTTGATATATGATGTGTTACCATCAAATCTGGTCAGTTTCCTATATGAATTGATTATATTCTATATTAATGTATAAAAAAGAGTCTTGAGTAAATGAAAGTTGCGATAGAATGTCAAAAGTGCAAAATACTAAAACATAAATTAAGAAATTTTTTTAATATTAAAAAAATTATTTTTTTTTAATATTTACATATAACAAAGACTTTAAAATAATATATTATTATTATTTGATAATTTTTAATTGAATTTAAATTATAATAACATTATTATTATTGATAATAATTATTATATTATTAATAATATTAATATTATGAGATTATGAGTCATCTCGTATCAAGGGAATGTATTCATTTACATTGAACGCAGTTGTTCACGTTGCACAGTGAATGGTAGTTGTATGACGGGAACGCACCGTCTAAACCGGCACAAAACGAATCAGTCTCGGTCACCGGATGTTAATCGAAGACTGCGACTATGGGAAAAAGTTACATTCGATCGTGGGTAACGTAATACGACATCATTAGCACACAAGGTACTCTCTTGTTCCCCTTACCGATCGCAATCGTGACCTACCTACCAATACATTCATCTTGTCCTGACCTTTCGCGGGGAAAGGTATCTTCGATGGTTTTACAAACATGACGAGGATTAAAACACTTTGTGTGTAAACGCGCATTGATACTCCACACTCTCGTCATACACCAACACCGCAAGTATCTCCTCGAGATGGACACAGCATGTCCCGATCTTTCTTAATCGCGCTGATCTTTCGTTTAGCTCGAATGAAATCATTTCGATTATAATTAACCCATGCGCGAATTTAAAATATTCACAAAATAACGCAAGCCATGTTTATTTTATGTAGTCTCTACACTTTCAAGAAAAGTCTACATAAAAATGAATTTAATATGATCGTGAATGCTCGTCACGGAAAGTCAGTGTGTTTAGCACTCGACAGTGACGAGCGCGAGTCCTTTGCCGAGGACGCCCGGTATCGCCTCATCCTGAAAACAACACCATGTCCGTTATTCATTTACAAGGATGATGTAATTAACTCAGCGATAATACTTATAGCGCGTCCGAGGAATCATTAATCAAATGGAATCATCATTTTCGCGGACAAGCTTTATAGTTTTTGAATTGTGCGAATCTTAGTTTTGAAACATCGTGAGTCTAACGGAACGGAGCAGATAACTGATGCAAATTAAAAAAAATTCGAAAATAAATTTATTCTACTTTTACAATCAATAATTTAAGAAATAAAATCACCGTGCAAGAAATCGCAAAAAGCCATTGAATGCATAATTTGCAAATTAATCTCTTATTTTACGAGCTATAGTCTTCAGACATAATAAATTTTAACAAAAGTAATTAATGCTGCAATTTTAAAATTAAATTGAGGCATTCCTGCATATTTCTTTCCTTTGAAATACTAGGCGCACCTGGCTAAATAATGATTATCTTTCTCTTGTTTTTTTAATACCCAATCTTACAAATATTTTTTAAAGACGTTAAAGTATATGTATAAGAATCACTTAATAATTTCTGTAAACGTGACAAAAATTGGCCCAAATACGAACGATCCATTGTGTAGAAGAGGAAAATTATCGAATATATTAAGAGTTAATGTAAATTATCGTAAACAATCTCTCAGAAGTACTAGTATAAGAAAAACAGATAATAATTTCATTTCTTCGTTTCAGTTGGTAGCGGCCCTTTTCGGGCTCGTTCACGGCCAATACTTCCAGGAACCGAAAAAGATCGTGAGCTACTCACATGATCTCGGTGACACCCGCGGTCATTATTCATTCTCTTACGAGACTGAGGGCGGCATACTTCAACGAGAGAGTGGCAGCCGCAAGTATGCCGGCACTTCCGACGAGACGCAACTCATTCAGGGCTCCGTGCAGTACAACGCGCCGGACGGTACCCCCATCGCCATGAGCTGGACCGCCGATGAGTTCGGCACCCAGGTATCCGGCAGCCACATCCCCACCCCGCCACCGATCCCGCCGGCGATTCAGCGTGCCCTTGAGTGGATCGCCAAGCAGCCCACGACCCCGGAACCGATCGAGAAGAACAATCCGACGCAGAACGCGGTCCCCCGCAGCGACAATCGCCAATTTCGATTATCCTCGAATAAACGAAACTGAATGCGTGTGCTCGCACAAAGTACCGTTAAGTTCATCCAAAATTGCCTGTCCTTCCTGTTGCTTCACATAGATAATACGCTTCCAATAAAAATTTATACTTTTATAGAAATTTTCGAGGGTTATATTGTCGGTGGAGACAGATTTTAGCAAGAGTTTTACCTTCCTTTACATTCCCGTGTTAGTCGAGGGGTGGTTTGATCAATAATCGTTCTTATATGCTTTCTTGTAGTTTGCGCATGATCTCATAATCAGGTGGTAAATCGTTTTAATATATAAAAAGATAAATCTCTTCTTTTCGTTATACATATGACATAGCACATTTGCCTTTGCCATCGTCATCTAGAATTGAAGTGAATGATCTACATCCGAGATGTAACATTCAAGCGTGTATAAACAATGGCATAAATAAGTGAGTATACACTGAAATTACTCGATAAATGTGCTTCATTTTTTTACACGTACCTGCCTTTTCTCAAAGTGTTAAGTTTCGACGAACAAAGAACTTCGCCCATTTTCGGCTCCTTGCGTAGAATTGTATTTCAGTTTGTAGATAATAATAATAGAAGTATAAATTATTAAAAATTAAATAGATCTAGATTCTCAAACCCGCGCGCGCGTACGGAAAGCAGTTTTAATATTTTAAACTTTAAAGATGTCGCGTCTTACTTGTCCGGTTGCTCATCATCAAAGTTGTTAAGGCTGATAAATGTTTATTATTGACATCTTTAAAAGATATCGTACGTCTTCAGCAAGATATTTGGCATATCTTAGATACCAAATGAATGATGTGAGGACAGCAATTTACAGTACGGGCACCATACTTACGTATGCAATAGAGGCGAAGGTGGTATTATGACCATGAGTGTATATATTGTAGCCTCCTTTAATATCGCCGCTATCATACAGCGAATCCTAATGATTACTTATGGAATTATTTGCTCAGTAATTCGCCGTTACACCATGACGCTAATATACTAATATTCGATAGCCAGCACTTATTATAATGCATTTTTACGTTCAAGTATTTTGAAACGTTTTTGAGGTACATTTTAGCATTTAATTACATCTACTTCCACATTTTTCGTAAACTTCAGCCCATTACAAACTTCAGCACATGAATATATGTATTTTTGAGTGTGTTATTTGCTATTTAACATTTTATTTGACTGTATATATTTTGATTTATGCAAATTTAAACAATAGCATAGCATTTTGCTAATATGGCCCTCTGTGAGTATTGATTACTCACGAGCTCTTTTTTGAAGTTTTCATATCAAAACAATTATTTGATAATCAATTGTAGCTCTACTGTTAGTTTATAGTTTATATTACGTGTATTATTTTTAGGAGAGAGAGAGAGAGAGAGAACTGAGATTTTTAGTACTATAAGCAGCTTATATGCAAAAGTTATGTGAATGTATATATGTACATTCATTTGCATATATTTAAAAATATTTTACTTTTTTGTTAATTTTGTGTAACCAAATAACGTTTTCTAAACAAAATTAATATTTTAAAGCTATTTTTATGGAAGGCCACATTACCACCCATTTTTTTCTTCGAGTCATTATGCAATGTTGCCACATTTTTATTAATAGTATCTCAAGTAATAAATATTTCGTAACTTTGAGTTCAGAATCGATTCGACAACATCTTAACGAATGTAATTGTCAAATTTTAAATTTAAATATTGATTATTAACAAAGTTATTGTGTAAAATGTAACTGCGGTACCATAATACCACCTTCTCCTCTACTATTTTCTGACAATGTCTTTTCTTTCACCGTTACGTTCTCTTACAACGTAAATATGGTACCATATTTTATTTATATATCTAGAGATTGCATCCCAGCACCGAAAGATCTGCAGCATTTGCTTCTTACCGCAGTCACTACGAGGATATGTTCTTGACACAGAAATAAATCTTGTGGGACGAGAGATATGGATAAAAAAAATCTAGAAGTATGTTTATTTATATAATAAAAACCATCAGTTGATTGAAAGCATTCTGCAAGTATAAATAGCAAAATAATGTACCTCATATGCTACATCGAGAGGTGAGGTTGTAACACTGATTTGCAACTGTTGTAGCAGTTGATACTTATGCAGTTTTAATCTATACTTTATGCTTTATAATCTGACGTATTACTCATCTCTGAGGGGCTTGAAGCTTTATATAAAGTAGCGCAGTTTTTTAGTCTGCAACCATACATTATTCCTAATTTATTCAACGAAAGCAATAAATAGATTGCATTTATTCATTTTTTATAGACGCATTATCATAATTCAGTCATATAAATTTTGTCCTTGATCATTTAAATAATGAAACGACTTGCATCGTGCAAATTAACTTATTCCCATCTCTTCTATAGTATTGTACTTAAAATTTTTATTTTGACGTAACGCGAAACTTAAAATGTCAAAGGCTGTAATTAATATTCATGATAGAGACGTTAATTATTGTCACTATTCATTATCGAGAGACTGTTGTTTTGCGTTGTATCCCCATAAAGCAATGGGTCATAAAAGAAGTTCTTGAAAAGAATTACAATGCACCTACACAAAGAAATTTTCGCACTGCTCTTCACTGTTCATAACTTTGTAAGCGTCCCAGCGTTTCACTAACGCTCCTCTCGTTAAAAATATTCTTAAAAATATTGTTAATGCGATTAATGAACCGATCACCGTTCATCTCTCCTCCGATAAATACCAACAAGTCTTGCACTGCGACGAAATTTATTTACAGTATATCATCAAGATTATGTTCATATACAAATATTATACAAAAAATTTGTTTTAATTATACAGGCGCATATAAATACAAAAATAATCACGACGCGAAGAGCTGAGTCTGTTGCTAGTCTATATCGGGACCAAATACTCGTCAATCCTCGTTACAATCATGATTCGGTTTCACACCAGGCTTCTTCTGATCGTCTCGTCGCCTCGAAATTCGTTTCACCGATTCTATCCTTCTTCCGTTATAGGGCCTTTTTCGGAATCCTTTAATGCTTCTCGTTCTCCTCGGGGTGTTCGGCGATATATTGAAGAGCCCTTAGAATTTGAGGTGGCACTGGAGGCGCGGTTGGCAAATGAGCACCTTCTGGCTGGAACCCATTCTCGTTGGCTATGTACGAGATTTGGTAGGTTTGACCATCGGCGTTAGTAAAGCTGAAGCTGCCATGTGCCTCCAGGGCCTCGTTGTCGGTACCAACGTTGTTAAGATGACCCTCCTCCTGGACCTGAATACCGTTACCAGTCTCGTAGTTGTAATTGTAGGATCCATCGGGATTGGGTCCGTCCAAGGCTTGCTTGACGATGGGGATTGGGCTGGTGTTGTCAACTGGGGCGGCGATTGCCACTGCCACGAGGGCACACAAAGCAATTACCTAAAAGGACAAAGAATCATACAATCCTTCTGCCGTTATGGAAGAATATTATTGGACTCACAAAAAAAATTGGAAATAATTGGAAAATCAATCAAATCGAATATTGTACACTATTCGTTTTAGTAGTTTTTTCATTAATCCAATTATAGTACTCTTCGATAAGGTATTATATATTTCGACTTTATTTTTGTGATAGAATAAGGATTTTTTCTGAAGAGTATTGAAAGAGCAAAGATATTATCAATATAATTTATTTTTATCTGAAATAGTGCACGATTTAGTATAAAAAATATTTATCTTTATCTAAATAGTTATATAATAACATATATTAATTCTACATAAAATTGACACCTCGATTAGAGATTTTAATACCATTTTATGTTAGAAGAAAAACAAACATTTTATAAAGTAAAAATATAGAAAATAAATGAATATTATAGCGTATATATATATTTATTATGTTAATTATAATTTTGTAACATTTATTATAAACGCTTATTCTTATTTACAACTTAATTGAAAAATTTAAACTATATTGTTTATGAGCAATAAAAATTAAATAATTTAATTAATTTAATGTAACAAAGATTACATATTTAAATTAAAAGAACTTTGCACTGATTAACCAAAATAAACATTTTAATTGATTTACAAAGGCACTCGAATTACAAAAATATTGCAAATTTGAAATTACGTCTATAAATAATTGTACCACTGCGTTACGTAAAGTATTTTATTCGCACAAAAACTCAAACTCACCAATAGATTCATATTGAAAGAAAGATATTTTATTTTCCAGCTGTCACTTGGAAGCTTGTCATGCACAGACTTACATCTTTTGCACATCTTCCGCTTTATATATCCTCCATCTGAACATTCGGGGACTTTCTGGTGATACCTTATTTAGCCCCCTCTATTCTCTGGATCCTCTTGTTCATCCTCCCACTTGAATAAGTCGTAGCAATGTAGCATACATCCGAATTTTGCGGATGAGTCGAACGTGCGCGCGCGCGCACATACACACACACACTTGTGAAAGATCTGGTCTTCTCGGGAAGATTTCAAACTTCGTATGAAGTCATACGTATTCCTAAAATCGCAAAAGGTCGTCATCTCAATTTAGCAAAAAAGGTGAACTCGCTTAAGATAGAAATTAAATAATCCTGTTATTATGGAAAAAAATAGCGTACACTTTATCAGCTCCAAGCTAAAAATAATGGTCGAAATTCGCATAAATTGCTGCATAAATTGCCATTCTAAATGTGCAATAATAAATAACGATCAATACGAGCAGTATCACACAAAGTATCATGATACATATAAATTTAAAAAAATGTCAAAATAAAACACAATGTAAAACAGATTTGTCAAAAGATATTATTCTATAAAAAGAGATAGCAATCAAATCATGTAACTTGACTTTATTTTTATGTTAGTCATATTTTTTAAAAACTATTTTATATAAAATGCATGTTGAGCATTTTTTATATAATATCTCTATTACACTTGGAAAAGTGATATATTATATTTTCTTTTTCGTAAAATTCATGTACATTCTTTTTTTTTTAATTTTTGCATCTATATACTGCCAATATACATCTATCTTAAGAAAGTATTTTTAGACGAATATGTACATATATATAATTCATAATTTTATATAAAATCTTAATAGTTAGATGTATCTAACATTTTTTAATAGATATATCTGACTTTTTCTGGTTGAGGAATGAAATTGCATTCACACACAAAAAAATCACAAAAAACTTCTAGTATTATACATATATGTATACGAAGTCCTTTTGTTAATTAGTATAACTATTATTATTTATTCTTAAAATTTTCTAGCAAAAATAAATTTTAGCTTAGTCCTAATATAACACAAAATTAGAGATAATTTTAATTTATAATTTTAGAATATATTGGAAAAATGTTTAAAATGAATCGTTATCCGTTTATTTTTAATTAATGTAAAAATAGAATTTCGTAACATTATTTTTTTAAAAGCTCTAAGATATTTATGAGCGTATTTCTGTATTGTATTCTGTAGTATATTTAAAGTAGAAAATTTGCTCTCACACACACGCGCGCGCGCGCGCGCACGCACGCGCACACACACACACACACACACACACCATTTAAAATTGAAACTTTATACACAGTATTATATATGTGATTTTTTAAATAAATAATCTCTTGACTGTCATAATCGTTATTGCTTCCATCATGATTAATAAAATGTAATTTGGTATTTCTGGAAATGCATTTGACCTAAAAAAATATGTTTCTTATTCACACATGACATATTTAAAATGGATAAATGCAAAAAACGATACAGAAAAAGACAATAACTGCCATTAAAAATAGATGAAGCCATAACAGAGTTTTTTCTTGTCCAATAAAATGCATCTGTCGAATGCTCATTGGAATATAAAAAAACTGATATACATCTATGCTAAAGGACAACTCGTGATCATCGAAAGATCCACGTATTCATATAACATGTTAAAAATAGCACGGTAAGATATCAATTGCAATGTAAATCATCACATTCAAATTTAGTTACTAGAGTTATTCTCGTATATCTTTCAGAATATTTCTTTCAAAAAATAATATTAATTAACAAATCGCCTCACAATTTCAATTGCCTGAAATTTCAAAACCAGGAATTGCGAAAATATACAGTTAGTGTCTTATGAATCATCTTTGTCTGTCGTCGCAGACACGTAAGTGTCGTTAATTTTCTCACGTAAGTAGGTATATATTTATTAGCAGGGTTGGGAAAGTTATTTTATAAGTTACTTATAAGTTATTTTTCAAGTCACTTTATATGTGTTTGTTACAAAAATTGAGTACAAAAATAATACAAAATTAGAGAGCAAATAATTATAATTAAATATAATATAAAAAATAAAATACACCTTATTGTCACTTAATAAAATGTACGAACTGTAAAATTACCGGATATCTGGTACAAATTTCATAAAATTAAAAAAAAATAAAAAGCAAAGGTAAAATCGCAATAATTGTTGATCGGCTGTAGAACAGGGTCGTTTGCAATACAGTTTCAATACATTTCTTAGTAATCAAAGTTTAATACTAATAAATTTTTCATAATAGATAATAACATTTTAGTGTTTTCCAGTTGAAAAGAATAGAATTCTGCATTATAATGACGCAAAGTTTCAATATAAAGTTGCTGGGTACTAATTATATCCGGCTATCCGACCGGATAGTAGAAAAAGATAGTAGAATCAGATAATACCGAATACCAGATATTTAGTGCATCCCTAATAAAAAATAACTTATAAGTAATTTATAAAGTAACTTCCCCAACCTTGCATATCAGCCTATACATATTAGCCCCGCGGTTCAGGTAAAAGAACATTCAAGTAAAAAATTAGATTTGTGTCAAACCACCGTTGCTAACCGTTCGCAACGATACGAACTCATCTGGTAGTATAGATAATATTTAAAATGTATAAATCATTTGTGCCAAGTGACATTATTCCGAGCATTTATTCTGGTAGCTGAATGAATGACCGAGTGGTTCGCAAAATGAGTTAGTCGTCATAGCGAGAAATGGCAACTTATTGAATGTAAATGACATGTGTCTCTGGGTATACATGTCAAATGCATATATTTTGTCCCTAAAAGTGTTAATAATCAAGTAGTTCAAAAATATTTTCATCGTTTATATTTAACATTGTTCTCCAGGAAATATGTAATATCTTTTATCGATATCTTCTATCGAATTTCCAGATCATTTCCAGTTATATTTGCATTACTGTTATATTATTACTATTACGAATCATTATTTAAATCATTCAAAGGATTTTTAATATGCAAAAAATGCATATATATCTAATAATAAAATTAGCTAGTAGTATAATATTTGAAAAATTATAATACGTAAATTATATTATGTGTGCAAGAAGAAAGAGAAAAAGTGAGAATATTCTTGTAATAAATTAAGCTTACGCGCTACGCAAATGTGTGATAAAAGTAAATCAACGGAAAGCACACAATCTGAAGATGGAAAAACGGAGGATAAAAGGAAATAAAAGATAGAATAAAATAGTGACAGGATGGAGAACGTTTCTCCGTCCGTATTTAATGGGCATTCGCGCAGTAATTGTTTGAGAGAAATTATTTGGGAAGAACCTCGGCTAAGAGAGTTATCTGTGGACACACTCTTCTCGGGAGATTTACAACAAGCATACCGATGTAAACTTAATAATATTATTTAGCGATGGTATCTTTCGGTTTTGAGAGTAACACCGCTCGCAGCTACCTCATGACCTTCGGACACGTGTGAACACGTGTGTTGCCGTGAAAAGTTATTGAACGATGTCATTATTATCAAGCGGGCATCACGGGATACTACAAGTACATACAGGTAAAGCATACGCGCCCCAGTGTTTGAAAAGAAAAAAAACGTCATTCTTGTTTCGCGAGAAATGTGAAAGTATAAACCTATACAGTAAATATAAAAAGTATTCATTCAAAGCAGTTTTTATTTAAAAAACTCATTATTTATAGAAAATAAACATGAAATTAATTAATATTTTATTAACAACGAGTACGTTTTGTTCTAATATAAACAAAAAAGCTTTGTAAAAATAATTGTGTTTGTGATTTTAAAAGTAAATTTTTTAATTGTATAAATAAGTTATAATTTTTGTGTCTAAATAATACAATTTTTTACATTTTTTTATCAAAATTATTATTGAAATAATGTATTACACGACTTTTTTGATAAATAATTTTTAAGAATATATAATTTTTAGGGATTTTATATTTTGTTAAGAAATTGATAATTAATCTTCCGTCTGTAATTATATTTTTTATTCCTCTATATATGACCTAGATCTTTTTTGTCCAGCCAAAGTTATTCTTTTCTCTCTCTCTCTCTCTCTCTCTCTCTCTCTCTCTCTCTCTCTCTCTCTTAGATTTAAAAAAAAATGTGGAAAGATTTAGAGTTACTTTTTAACACCACTATTACATTATCAAATAATTTTGTAACTTAAATGTTAAAAATTTTATTTAATAAAATTGAAATTTGAGAGTAAAGTTTTGTTTGAAAAGAGATTAACACACACACACACACACACACAATTACAGATGGAGGATTCTTTTTAAAACTAAAGGATCAATTTTAAGCAGAATCGTAAGACTCGTAACTCGTTCTTGTAAAACTTGTAAGAACTTATTATAGTTGATGTTGTAATTTCATTCGTATGTATCGTAAGACATATGATCATTTGTAAATATTTACCATTTCTCGTAAATCTTACGGTTAGCAAGAAGCTGTCTATATAAAGATATTGAATAAAAAGTACTTGCAAATTCTTATAAATCTTACAAAAACATGTTACGAGCATTATAATTCTACTTAGAATTGACCCATAAATAATTAATTAATTTTTATTAAATTATCATTAAATTAAATAATAATGATATTAATTAATTATTAAAGGATTAAGTAATTTATAATTAATTTATTATAATTTAATAAAATCTTTTAATAATAAAGTTTTTTTAAATATATTTCTCATGTACGAATACTTTTTACATTCACTGTATTAAAAAAAAAAATGAAAGAAAAAGACATTCGAATTGAAGAGGATCCGCGTATTACAACTAGACAAGTTACTAAACTGAATCGGTAAAGAATTCATATTCCGACAGATTTATCTAACATTTTAATCACTATTATTTAATGTCAAAATCGTCACGCATGGTGTTGGTGGATATTTATTCCACATACAAATCGCCGAGAGATTTAGTTATGTAAAGCCGTGATCAGACTAGAGATTGAGAATAGATTGAAATTCAACAAATCAAAG